GACGTAAACTGCTATAATAAAGAATATTGAGAGCGATCCTTGAATGACAACACATAGGTTGATTTCAAATTTGTATCTTTCTTTTTCGAGATATTCACTGGGTCAATTGTACCACATATGACCAGATTACTTAAGACCATTCCACGATCTCTTCACACATATCTCGATGTATTAATTTTATTGTTTTTGGCATTTTGAATCCTTCAGAGATTACTATCCCACAGATGTCGATTTCAAGTGTCCCTTATAACTACGTTTCCTCATATCGCATTATCTCATTCATTTTATTTATGTTTATTACAGACACTCATTTTAAACCTATTGGTTTGACGTTTATGAGTGTTCAGACTTTAGGTCCGAAAATATTCTGTTTATCGAGTGACTTATATTCGACCTTCAGGGTCTTTTTCCATTTTGGCAAATCATTTATGTACTATCTACATGTGCTCTTCTTTGAGTTTTAGGCATGTAATCTCTTTTATTGATTACATCCATTGCCATAGCATATGCAATAATATCATTAACACGTGTTTCATTTTGGTTCCATATTGTACAGTCTCGTACATAATCAATAGAGATCTCATTTTCTTTCGGTACCGATGTTTCTTTAGGAAACTTCTTCTTCTGGAATCATATTAGTCTCTTCCAGGACATTTACCTCTTCTGAGTTTCATTTTCTTCCGGAATAGTATTAGTCTTCTTCTGGGACAATTACCTTTTCTAGGGTTTCACTCATAAACATGTATATGGTTTCACTAATAGCATTTTTACTATCTTCATTTTCGTGGGTTCTTATCTTTGAAACCAATTATTCTCCCACATAAAATGTTCAATAGTCACTTCTGGGACTACCTTAAATTGAGCGATGCATAAGATGCTGGTATATGTAACTTTGTCACCCTGCTCATATATGTGAATGAATCGAGTAATCCATTTGCTCTTCATTGCAAATCAGACTTCAAAATTACATTGACCACTTCAGGAGTCAAAAATTTACAATGATGCATTTCATATAATTTCTTGTATTACCAGTCTTTCATTATTCTTGTCTCCCCCTAAGACTGGGAATATTTCATCAAAAAATTGACAAACCAACTTACTTTGATGTTAATAATTCTCCTTTCAAAAACTCTAAACATTTAACAATAGACGAGGAGTTATAGCCAATGTCAATACACAGTCTTCTACATTATATTGAATGCATTGTGGGGGAGAGAGCATATAAGGCACACAATCAAACAATCAAATATTGTGAGAAGGCACAAACTTGTTTCTCTTCAGGAGATATCAAGTGTAAGAAACTCAAAAATTTGAAGATTTGACATTTTATTTATAGGGAAGGATTAATAAAAATGAACATGTGTATATAAAATACATGCGAAGGAAAACTTCATGTTCTTAATTATATGTTGGAACTACAGGTTCCTTATAATAAGACCACTTTTTTATGGTTGAGAAAATATCTAGAATTCACTTCTAACCAAAGTGTTTACAATTGACACATAAAATTCATAATGAGAACTTTATTTGCAATATCGTAGTACAATCTTATTTCTTGAACTTCAGGTTCACATCTTCTTTAATTGAAGAATATATATATAATCTAGCATATGTCATGGAATTTATCTTCCATTCAACTCCTTTAAAAACCTCCTCTCAGTGTCTACCTACCATTGTGGTACCTTGATAATTTCTTTTAATTTATGCCCACTAAGCATCTGCTCCAAATAATTACCACATAAATGAAGATTCAAAAATCAGTATAAAATGCTTTGTTCTCATAATCAAAAGTATAGCCACCAATCCAATGCATTTTGCATATTAACTAGAGCTACAGGCTCTTATGTGACTAATGGTGTTCAACATAAACTAAAAATTATGTCCATAGGACAAATATCATAAACTTCGGGTTACGAGTTAATTGTCAACAAATATAACAAATATAACGATGCTTCATATATAATATTTAAATTGTGATCACGAATAGTTGATGGGCCCAATCAATTATCCTTGATCAATTTCTTAATATATATGAAATGAACCTCAAGTTTCATTAGTAATAATCTCATAATAATCTTCTAATGAGAACAAGACTATAGAATCTTCTGGTCCTTATAATAACAGAAACTTGTTCTTCAAATAGTGCTCACTTGAGTTCTTAATGTTTTTTTTCTTCACACCACAAAGTAAAACGTGATAATTTAATTGGTTATGTTTAGAATAAAAATTGATTCAGTAAACTTCTGGTTTACGTGAAAACAAATCTCGATCAAGTGTCATATAATATTCATTTCCATTGGTATCTTAAACATTAATAGAGACTCCTTAAACAATAAGGATTTATTTGTTTATACCCAATAGAATATTCGTCAATGAAGAACAATAACTATTCTCTCAAAATATTCAATATTTATGAGACCTTTATTACTTCTATTATGCAGCTCTTATTATGCAATGCTCTTCTGAAGCTATCTATCAGTTTTGTATAAAAAGAAAATTATATCCAAACTAACTTCTTTTATCATAAGAGAAAAAAAGCTCTTACATCTAAAAAAATATAATATGTAAAATCACTCCTTTGATTATAATATTAACTACATCATTCTTCAGGAACATCGATGAGGAATCATATATAGATTAGAACAAAGGTCTTGAAATTCCAAAACGTCTCTTTTTAATGAGATTTTTTTATACTAAAAATCAGCCACTTTAGGTGTAATTGAATATTATAAGACCTTAGGTAGTATCTCATATACCCATATATTGTGTTTTGATGAACATGTTGACTCTTTTTTATTATTGTGAAAAATAAATAAATTAATGTATATTGATTGAATAATAGGGTTTTTTATTAAAAACGGTTTAGGTACTTGAAGGGTCTCAATTATTATTATTATTATTATTTATTATGTATTATTATTATTATAGCGGAGGTTACAATTAGAGCAAAACTATGCACATAATGAGAAATTAGATCACATTACATAGTCACAAATAATAAATCTATAATATTAACATTATTATTATTATTTCTTTATTGCAAAGTAAATAATAATGTCACCTATATATTCATGTGGCATACTCAAATCTTCAGGTTTGAGTTTCACTGTTAATGCTTCGAGCATATGAAATCAGAATATGAACTTCAAGTTCACTAGCCAAAAGAGAAAAAAACTAAAGAAATGAATTTTTTCCGACATAATATGTACTCAAACTTCAGGTTAAGTTTTATCATATAATCGTCAACTTTAACACATAATGTAGGCTTCACATGCCAATTATCTAATATATTTAGGAGTTTTAGATTCAATATATCTACAAGTACACTTGAAAACTAAAGTAAATTAGTGTATATGTGTGTGTGTCTATATATATATATATATATATATATATATATATATATATATATATATATATATATATATATATATATATATATATAAAACATGAATATGAACAAGGACAAGATATGAAGAGTAAATTTTTAGAGTATCGTGCTGATAACGTGTTAAAAATAAAGATAATAGAAATATTATCAAGAACAAGATGATAGGGATATACCTTGATAAGAACACAAATGGAAAATCAAAGTGCAATGGAGAGTGAAAGAGAAAGAATGCAATGAGAGACTAAAAATATGGATGTTCTATTTCTACATATGGAGCCTCTATATATAGGCTTACAAAGGGGAAAATCAAAAGTCTAACTTAGACATGGAGAACATCAAAAGACATTTGTACATAACAGTTCTATCTTTTTGTTCCTAGAATATTAATTAAAATTTATTTACATGTCCAATCATGATCATGTACATTATAAAAATGTAAAGTGAAATATACATGTACAATTCTACATTACCACAGTGCAAACTAATATTCAGGAAATAAAAATATGGAATTTCTATTTTGGTATTTTATCTATGTTTTACTCATATTTTGGGTGATTTCACATGTTTTTATGACTTTTGCTTCATGCTCTCTTCACTTAATTTGAATGATTATGATCTTGGAAAAAAATTTGATCTGATTTGATCTTATTTGGTTTGATCTGGTCTAATCTGATCCAATCTGAATGTGGTTACATTTAAAGTTATTTCTCTGATATGAACTGAACTGATTCCAAAAAGAAAAAGTACTCAAAATAAGTTGAAGAGAACGTGATCTTGATTCCTTGATCATCTGGGTCCCGTCTCATTATGGTTCTGGAACGAAGTTCCGGTACTGCCAGGAGAAGCACCCACCCCCCATGACCGGTTCCCAGTGGTGATGGTGCCAGTTTCAGAGTCGGCGATTTCGATTTTGTTCCGATTTTTGGATTTTAGTTTTATTTTTTTGTATTTGAAGTAATTCTATATGCTAAAAAATTTGTTTAATGATGTCAATTGAATAAGAATGAAAGTTGGAACCCTCGAAGAAGTATAAATTGTTCACCTAAAGCTTACGAAGTCTAACAGAAATTATTTTCAAATCATTTTATATGATAAATAGTGTAGACTTAAAAATAAAAATGACATATTAAAATACTACATCAAAAGATCTACAAAACTAATAGTGACAATAATACTTTATTTTATCAAATTGCTAACGAAAATAGGGAAAGAAAGTGAATAAAGTTTGACTCTGTAAATAGCGAACGAGCATAAGAATTATCAATTTTACGAACCGAGCACTGTAAGAACTAGTGTCGCCAATGGATACAAATTGCCCAATATTTGGGATTCCAATCATTTTTTTCTAATTTTACAGTATTTCTTGAAAGAAGTCATCGATTCTGAAAGGGAAATGCTTGGTTCACAAACTCAAGCTTCACAAACTTCACAAACTTACCATTTGTGAACTTTAATAAAGAAAATTAAATAGTCTAAAATAATTTTAAAATGAGAATTTAAATCATAAATAGTAAATTTGTGAAGTTTGTGATCTTTCTGTTTGTGAACGTAGCATTGCCCATCCTGAAAACTCTATTCTCCATATTCGAAGACCGATTTTTCCGTGACTCCTAATTAATTGTGTTTTCTTTCACTTATCTTTTCCATTCTTGGATCGGAAATTCTTGCACAAGGCCTTCAAAATTATTTGGCCGGGCCTGGTAAAACTTAATAATAAAATAATTATATAATAATGGTAGATTGGGAAGTTCTTCAATGGTAGTGCAAACATTACTCAACTCTGCAGTAAACTAGTTTTCCTGAAAGCACCTCCAAAACTCTTCAAAATGTATTACAATTCCTAGCTCCTGCAACATGAGGGAACATAAAATAAATGCAGATAGAAGGGTACACCAAACGAGGTACACGGTCCGGTCTGGTCCGGTCTTCATGGTTTTCAGAATTCTTCTATGAAAAGATTCAGTCACTCGTCATCATGATCTGCCTCAAAAAAACGGGAAATAAAATCAGCCACTAAACAGGATGCCATCCTTCGCAATGAATGAAATAATGTAACTTCTCTCCTGATGCATGCAAAACGTTGAACCAAATTGTTGGAAGCAGACAGATCATATGATTATCAATTATTATTTATAATTATCACACAAGAAATATAAAGATTAGAGAAATAAGGAATGGCATGAGTTACCTTCACTTAGGTCATCAACTTGAGAAAGATCATCAGCATCTTCATCTGTATCACTGGAATCGTCTCTGTCACTGGAATCGTCTCTGTCACTCTCAATGCCTTCGGCATCGCTCTCGTCATCTTTAACAGGCAATTTGGGTTTTGGAGGAGGCACAAAACTGGTTGTTGTTGACCTTCTCCGTGAACTTGAAACAATGTTACTCATGTCAATTCCTTCAAGTTCTCTGGCTCTGGCTTTTCTCTTTCTGACTTCTTTGATTTCTGGTGCATTTAAATTAAAGTGCACAAAAGACATTAAATATGATTATATAAAATACGGAGTACTATTCAGAGAAAACAGCTCTATGGTACCTTACTGCACTACCGAACAATAAAAATGTTCACGAATTACTAGTTATTTGGTTGTTTTTCTTTCTAAAATTTACCCACACCCAAGGTGGGTGGACCTCATTAAAATTTACCCACACCCACTGTGTGTGGATACCCAACACATGTAACCACCACCTATATAATACACCCTCACCCTCCATTCAAAAAAAAATCATTCTAACTTGGCACACTTGTTAATGAAATGAAATTGTGTGCATGTGGCTGATTTAGAAATGAGAGAAGCTGTATCAACCACAACAAATTGTTCCTGAAAGAAAACAAGAATAGAAATATAGGACAACCCAAAAAAGAGGAAAGGAAAATTATAGGATAGATAGAGTAAGAAATATTTGTATGTTAATGACTCAAACAAATCCAGACTCAAGTAAAAAAAAGTTAAAATTAAATTGTAACTTGAATACTCCCTCCGTCCCAAAAAAAATTCCCACGTTCTTTTACGGAGCTCCCAAAAAACACTTTTTATCTCATCTCTTTTTAACGTCATGGTCATGTGACTTGCAAGATTTCTCTTTCACTGATAAAAATTTCAACCAAACACTTTTCCCTTTTCTTATACACGGGAAAATCACACTAGGTCATGTTTTTTTGACGGATAGAGTACATTAAAACGAAATTCAACTGATGCTTAAAATTGAACTTCATGAAAATGATCTCGCTCCAGATATGGTTCATGATAGGGAGCAATAGCGTCGTTTGATCAATGTAACCAACCCCACCTAGTGGGATAAGGCTTTGTCGTGGTTGTAAATTAACAACAATAAACCAGTGGGTAAATCAAAGCTGCTAAGGGTCCATTCCGTTCAACTTATTTTTTCAACTTATTCTTATTAAAATCAGATCAGATAATCAGATCCAATGACCAAAAACAACTTTAAATTTAACTATAATCATGATTCAAATCAAATCCAATCAAATCAGTCAAACGGAACGCAACCTAAGTGTTACAAACTTACAATAGATCCATATACAGAGTATAATTAAATAGTCATGTGGCACATTCAACTTTTATCTCTTATTAACTATAGCAAATTCTTATCATGTTCAAATACTAGTTTTTGGTTTTAGTGAACATTCAGTGTGTTTTAAATTACATAAATTTTGATGAATACCACTAAATAAATTTAACTAAAAATTAAATTTTAATTTACTTCAGTAAAGCACTTGAGAGTCAAGAGTCAAGCCCAGTAATCTAGAAAATAAAATCTAAGAGTGGGTTTGATTTTGAAAATCTACCAACATCAAACAACCACACCCGAACTAGAGTGGGTTTAATTTATTAAATCTACCAAGATCAAACCACAAAACCCCTTGAGTTTCGGGTGAAAATCTGAGAGTTGAATGACAATTATCACCCATTCAGAAAAAATATTCGAACAAATACATTTATAGGGCTACTAGATCCACTTCTAATTGAAGGACAAGTTTGCAATTTTGTATCGAAACGTTGTGTCATGATGATTACCTTTCTCTGAAGGATGACTAGACAGTCCTTCTCTAGAGAGTATCTCTTCCAACTCCTTTATTAAGAAATCCTGCCGCTCATCTTCTGAAACCTGCTTGGCTTTCTTGTAAATGAAAGGTGGGATGCTATTTATTTTATTTGGATATTATTTGGAGGGAGAGGGAGCGGGGGAAGGGGGAGTAAGATTATTTAGTGCTTTTGGACCAAAAGTCGTAAACATAGGGACTACAAGATTAACTAAAAAGGCATAGGCGAACCTCATTCCACAAGCTTTGATTATTGATTTCAATTTCTCTACAGCTTCTCCATATCCAGATGCTGACACTGCTTTCTTCTGTGTTATAGAAAGACGTGTTTTTTAGGATTGTATTTAATGGTCTACTGGAGCAAAAACAAATGTCAATAATTTGATAAAAAATATACAAACCTTTGCAGACATTGCATCTGTTGAACGGGACTGATAATTTTCAGACTCTCTCCTATCACTTTCTTCTGAATCATTATTATTTCCGGATGACTTCTTCACAACTTTCTGTTTCTTAGTGATATCATATTTGCTATCAGAACTTTTACGTTTCTTAGAGCTTTCAGAATTATTATTTTTTGCCCTTGGAACAGCCTTCTTAGCTGATTTGGTTTTATTCTCCCTGTCACTTTCACTGTTTGAAGAATCGGAAATCCCTTTAGTAATGATATTCTCTATAGGTTTGTTTTGCTCCTCGGATGATTTCTCAATAGTGCTTTTAGACGTTGGAACTTCAGAGGAATTCAATACCTGGTGGTAAAAATGGGATACAAAATTGATAACTACACAAAATGCATGGGAGGTTATAACATCGCTTATTTCTTTTTTGTCCTGGAATTGGGGTTTAAACATTTACCAACCTTGTCAAGTTCATCCCTTATGAACTTCTTGAAAGGATCAAGACTACTTTTTTCAAGGCCAATTTCCTCCTCCAGATATCGGCGAACACTAATCAGAGTCATTGCCCTTAAAACAAGCATGACAATCTTAATTAGTAGAAACAATTGAAATACATCAATATAAATGCGTATGAGTTAATGTAAGAAAGAGTAAACAAGGGAAGAAAACCATATGAAGGTATATAATATGACATAAACAAGAGGTTTTAAGTTGCACACTGAAATCCAAAATATCATACTCTAATTCGAGTGGGTTGTGAACAACTGATCCAACCTTGCCTCAGGGTACATACCTGTGCAGCACAATTCCTTTTGTTGGTATGGACTGATGCAGCTATAGTACAAGGTTTTGAAAGGTAAAATTAGACCTTGAGGCGGTCACCCTTTGTCTCATGGGCCATAAGCCTCAAGGCAAAATGAGGCATAATTAATAAAATAATCGAACAAAATAAACAAAACATTTTGTCCATTCTTTTGTGTTTGAGACGAGGTCTTATGGAAACAGTCTCTCTACTTCCGAGTAGGGTAAGGTCTATGTACACACCTGAAACACCCTCCCCAAACCCTACTTATGTGTGATTTTGCTGGGTTTGTTGTATTACAACAAAATAAACTAAATTACGATAAAATACATATTTTGTAAAGAAAATCACCAATACACATAACAAAAATAAAAAATACATGAAACAACATACAAATACAACAAAAAATCACAGAGCGGTGTAGTGCAGTATTGATAAGCGAAGTAGAGCAGATCTCCTTTTTGCAAAAATTGCTTTTTTGTGGAGATTGCATCGTCTAAATGTGGACTAAAAAACAAAACACACACACACATTGTTCATTAAGCCCAATAGAATTGATAGTGTCCCAGCCTCCCAGGAACAACAAAAGCTCACAAGTCACATAACCCATACTCCATTATTCTATTTGCACCTCATTAGCGTTTGCAACAACCAAACAAACAAAACAGTCGCGTTGTATGCAACGGAGCAACACCAGACCCAAGATAAGAAGAAGAAGAAACAAAACAAATGAAAACATGAAAAAAGAAGAGGCTACAGAAAACAAATAAAACAAAAATAAACGATGGAAAAATGAAGAAAAGGGGAGAATTTTAAGGTGTGTGCCTCGCCTCGCCTCTTCCTTGAACCTCTAAGCCTCTACCTGTCTCACCATTAGCACAGCCTAAGTCTCTGCATCCCAACTAAAGGCTTTAGCCTCTGAGACTTAAACGTCCCGCCTTTGCGCCTCAAGGCAGGGCACCTCAACCGCCTTTGAAAACCATGCTATTAAAGGCAAATAACATTTTAGACAATTATTAACAAGCATACTTTAAGTTAATCACACTCAAAAATATCAGCTTATGTACTTTAAGTTAATTGCAATTTAATATTTTAAGAAACATACTCAGCATTAGCCCTAAAATAAGCAGCTCTTTCCAAAATGGCTCTCTTTATGGAGCTTTCACTAGCCTTGGCATCTTGAACATCCGCCAATGTAGATTTGGAATCTGTGGCACCCAATATAGGACACTCGTCCATTTTGTTCTCATCTTCAGCACCAGAACCTTTTATAGTTTTCTTTGTTTTGTGCTCTTCAGGGGACTTTTCCCCCTTACGCTTAGTTAGAGAAGTATCTTTCCCCAGGCATTCTCCTGAATCTTTTGGACCGCTATCTTCATTGCCACTCTCCAAATGCTAGCATATACAACATAACACAAAATGAGTATATGTGATCCGACAAAAGGACAAGGTTGAGGGGAATGAACATGTGCTCTCCCTCCCTCCCTCCCTAATCGGTTGGTCGGTGGCTTAGTCGTCTATTAGTAGTCCAAAGCTGCCTCATTCGTATTTAGGTCATTTTAAAAAAAACAAAAACAAAACCCTAACGTGATTTAACCTACACCTCTTTCACTTATTTTGTTATGTGGGATATTTTTAATTGTTTTCAAATGCTTATGTTTATTTCCTAAATATCTTGCATTAGGTTTAATCTTTTGCTTTAGCATGTCACATATTGATGATTGTGATCTACCTTATATTTAATAAATTGAGCATCACATAAAGTATACTTTATAAATAAGAATAAAAATAAAAAATATACTTTATAAGCTTTTCCTTAATATTCATGCATGAAAGTATGTATCTATCCGATGCATAATTGCCGCTTAGATGGATCCCTAATCAATTACGTGGTGTGAAGGTCTGTGGTTGAATCTCCTTGTCGCCTTAACAACCTTGCTAAGTGATCGAGACTGGATGGAGAATATCACATGAAAAGTGTGGGAAAACTGAAAAGGCAGCAAAGACAGCCACTCGATGAGGCGGGAATTGAAACTAGGTGGAGAATCTCACACTAATGAATTTTAGGTTGTATTTTAGAAATCAGAAAACATCTAGAGCACTCACACATGTTTTCAAGAAATGAAACTGTAACATGACAAAAAAACTTTTGCATAGCAATATCAGAGTTTGATTGGTACCAAGATGAATGTAAGCAATAATTGCTATATTTATGAAACGAGTACCTGATTAACTAAATTCATAAAAGTAAAAGACAGACTACGCGATATGTTTTTTCAAGTATAATTTTATATTGATTTTTTGTGTCATATTGATGACAAATATTCTCTTGAACCAAAAAAATTACTCAAATGTAAAAAAAAGTCACCTCTTCAAGGAATTTCTTGATGAATCTTTTATGTACATCTAATGAATACTTCTCAATGTCCAAGTCATTCTCGATTAACCTACGAACTTTCTCCAAAGTCAAGGATCTGCATCCAACAAGTAGATCAGAAAATGAGAAAGCAAGTTCTTTAAGATTGTACAATAAGGCTGGAGCTGCAAAGAGGGTATCCAGTGCCAAAGCTCCCAAACAATGTGGTACAAAGAAGGGATAATCTAGTCCACCTTTCACATTAATTTTGCAATAATGCAATGAAATTGATTAAAACCCTAGTTTGCCCTTCATATTACGATGTCATTGGGTTAACAAAACATGTCACTCGAAACGATTGGTGATTTTAAATAAGTCCTTGGGTGAAAAAATTGCATGTTAAATTTCCTAAATCCCTCATCTATATATCCAACAGATTCAATCATTCAAATAGAAAACAAGAGAATTTGCCAAAGGCAAGATACTGCAATAACAACAACAACAACTAATACACAGCCTAGATCCCCATTAATTTTCATTATTCATTCTGATTTTGTTACCCTGTTATATTGTGTTCCCTACCATATTTTTTGTGCAGGTTGAGCCGGGGGTCTCTTGGAAACAGCCTCCCTACTTCCGAGTAGGGGCAAGGTCTGCGTACACACACCCTCCCCAGACCCTACTGTAGTGGGATTCAACTGGGTTGTTGTTGTTGTTGTATTCATTCTGATTTTATGTGCTTCATAGTTCATACGAGCGTATAAAAAGACAAAGTGACCATACTCTGCATTCTTCTTGAAATAATGAAGACGAGAGAGGAGTGCAGTCAGTATCTGAGACTCATTGATCCCCTTGTGCTGCTCCTGCTTCTCATCCTCAACAACCATCTCCCCCTTTGTTGCCCAGCACTTTATATCCTACCTTTCTCTCTTAGCAATGCCTCAACTACAGACACCTTTACGCATTTTTCTAGTTTTTCCGACTGATAGAAAGTCATCATTAGAACATAGGAAAATATAGAGCATTAAATAGGGGCACAAAAATACATAAACTCAAAAGTTGAGACTTACACTGAGAGCCTTTGTTAAGTTTGTTAGAACATAAGAAAACATGGAAAAAAAGATATGGGCATAGAAATCCAGAAGCACAACAGTTCAGAAACAAACTCCAAAATAAAACAGCACGCACAATTAGGCAGAAGCAATCCAATCCATTTCTCGGAAATCATGTGTTTATTGAGTCTAAAAGCATATTAAAGTTTCCCAAAAGGTCTGATTAAATTAAGGCATAATAAATCTGGATGGCTATAAGTACTAAAAAACACTCCGCATGAAGTAGAACTATGTTTCTGCTGAGTTTTATATTGGTGGCTGGCAGGGGTTAGGCAGACTTTAAAATCAAGTGATACAGGGTGAATGGAAGTTAGTTGGGTTTGTTGTGTTTGTTAGGGTTATTACTTGGGGTAGCTGTTATAAATACCCACTATATCTCTAAAAAGTGTATCAATTAAGAAATGAAATAATATCTTCTCTCTCAATTCTATATCTCTCTTGTCTATCCCTCTACTCTCTATCTCTCCGTCTGTCTCTCTCAACTTCCTTCTCTGTTCTTCACTTCCGCAGCGCCATTTCCGTTGCAGAGCATCAAATCTCATTTCTCTTATGTAGCTTCCTTCGTCTGTATCAATGGTATCAGAGCTCTTTTGATCCGTGATCGATTGATTCATGTGCCGCTGACTCTGATCAATCGATTGATCAATTTGGCCTTGTGTATGTGAACTCGATTTTGATCCAACGCAAGCTGGCCAGCACAAGATACAAATCAAAAATGGAAGAATTAATCAAAAGAATGTTTGAGCAACAACGAGAGTGGATGAATCGGCAGCTCCTTGACCAAAGAAAGATGATGAAAGAACGTGTTCAACTGTCAGCGATTCGATTGAAAGATCTGCAATCATCCAGGGCCTGCAATCAATCGGCAGGAAGAAATTTAAGGACACAGGGTGAAGGTATGAATCAGCCTCATTCCAATTCCAAGACTATTTTCCAGTGTTCGAAGGAGGAAACCCTAGGAAATGGATTATGAAGTGCAAAAGATATTTTGTTCTGTGTAAAATACCTGATAAGCAGAAAGTGAAATTAGCTGTGACATATTTGAATGGAGAAGCTGGGATTTGGTTCAACAGCTATGGACGCAATTGGGCCAATATTGAATGGGAGGAATTCATTATTGATGTCTGTACTAGATTCGATGATGTTGCACACAGTGTTGTGGTTAAAGATGTTTATAAGATGTGTCAGGATGGAAGCCGAGGACAATACACTGACTCATTTGAGGACACCAGGGTGGCATTAAAGAGACAGGAGAAGAGTGCCAAGCTTGCAGATTCTACAGGGTTTACCTCATCAATTGCATACAACTGGAGATCAGATGCTGCCAGATAGTGCCAAGCATGCGATGATCACCTTCATGTTGCTGATTTGAAAAATATTTTGGCAATGCTCCTTTGAGGACCAGATCCATTAGTGCGGCTCAAGATGGCAAACAAGGAAATGTAGAGGCAACTACTTCTGTTGACTCTAAATCAGTGAAGACGCCTAAATCATTGACTAAGGTCACTTACAATGTGGATTCTTGACTCTACAACAGCAAGATCCAATTTCCACCACGAAGAATTCTGAGGCTTATATTTGCTGACATAAGAACTAAGAAAAGAACAAATGGATGGGGTCATTACCGTGATAATCCATTTGAAGGAGAACATAAGCGTGAGATCAATGGGACTCTGCCCTTTCTGATTGAGATTCTAGGAGAAAAAAGAGATGTTCCAATGGAGATACCTGATTGGGAAATAATGGCTGGCAATGACTCATCCATTTCAGTTCATACTGTCCCTGTGAATATTAGGTGTCCAACTATAAGGATGACAGGGTCTGCAGGTAAAAAGGATTTACAGTTTTTGCTAGATTCAGGAAGTACCCACAGCTTCATTGATAACAAGCTGTCCAGAAAGTTGGGTTGTCGCCTGGAACCCATCAAGGCCTTGAGAGTAAGTGAGTAACAGTAGAAAAGGTGTACAACCGTTTTGTATGGAGATTGAATGCTTGGAAAAACCCCATGTCCTCAGGGGAGCTGAACAAAGGCTTGGCTTAGTAAGAAAGGGTCAATGGGCTAGAGATGTGAGAAATGTTGCCAAATGTGTTTGGGTACTTTAGATACTGTGAGATGGAACTTCACACAATTACACATGGATTTTGGCCATTTTGACAAAATAGATGTCCCTTGGGAAGCTAAGCAGAAACTCCATGTAATGAGGGCGGGGCAATGGGCTAAAAGTCTTGGCAATTTGACACAATTAGGTGGTGACCATCCTAGGTTAAAAGAGCATAAAGAGGTAGAAGGAGAAGTAACCCTTCCAATCAGCCCAGTACTTGAGACTTACACAGAGATTTTTGGCTCTCCAATCAGCCCAGTAAAGCCCCTACAGCAAGAGCTTGCAGGAACATGTGCTTCATCTCAAAGAGATATTGGGCTATTACAGGAGGTTCATCAGACAGCCTGCAGCTCTTAGTAAACCTTTAACTTACCTACTGCAGAAGGAAGCTTTCCATTGAGTCAATAAGGTAGATATTGCTACAAAGCATCAGCCATCAATTAACCTACTACTACTAGCCACCAACACAGAAAAAGGCAATAACTCGGCCAGGAAACAGTGGTTGATCCCTTGGATAGAACCACAACAAAAGGTGCTATGCACTGGGCCAATCTCTACATGATGTTACTTCAAAGTGGGCCGAGGATAACACTGTTAGGTTTCGAGTAATTCAACCTTGAGGACAAGGTTGTCCTAAAGGGTAGTATGATAGAGGGTAAATGGAAGTTAGTTGGGTTTGTTGTGTTTGTTAGGTTTATTACTTGGGGTAGCTGATATAAATTCTCACTCTATCTCTAAAAAGTGTATCAATTAAGAAATGAAATACTATCTTCTCTCCCAATTCTATCTCTCTCTCGTCTATCCTTCTACTCTCCATCTCTCCCGTCTGTCTCTCTCAATTTCCTTCGCTGTTCTTCACTTCCGCAGCGCCATTTCTGTTGCAGAGCATCAAAGCTCATTTTGCTTATGTAGCTTCCTTCCTCTCTATCATCAAGTCCTTTAACATTGAAATCTACACTCCAGCGGACACTAAAAACAGGCTTGACCCGTTGAATAAAGAGACTTGAAATAAATCTCAAACCCAGGGCAAGCAAAGTTCAAGCGCAATGATTGAGAAGTGCCAAAATTAGGTCATTTGCACATTAAAACATTAGTTTTTTTAAAGAAGAAGCGGTAACTAGTAGCAGACTTGATACCTTCGCGGAGAGACAGCTTCAAGCTTCTTCTCAGTGATATTGAGTCCAAACTACAGATTCGTAGCCAGTGACCAGAAGTTCGACAAAGGAATGTATGGAAAATTCCTGCTTTCTGCGACTAGGGTTTTACCTCCATTTTCCTTAGTCCGTATTTTATTGCCCGGGACACGAGGGTAAAAAAAGAACTACTGCGAAAGATTGCCCAATATATATACTAGCATGAAAAGCACTTTGTGCGTTTGGTGCCCAACATTGAAAGAAAATTACAAAAGTAAAATGTGTGACTTTGTATGGTGCCTTAAAATTGTTCTAGACTTTGACCTAAAAGACTTTTAATACTCCCTCCGTCCTATAATGATCTTCTCAGTTCGCAGAACGAAGAAAAATCCCAAATTTTTTCAATCTATTTTATTTAAATATTGGTATAGAAATAAAAAATAAAACATACATATTTAAAAACTACATCAAAAGTTTAACAAAACAAGTGGTGACAAGAATATTTTATTTTATCATATAGGCCATGAAAAAACACAAATAAATATAAATTTCCGTGAAGTTGGAATAGTGCTCTGGGAAGATCATTATAGGACGGAGGGAGTACTTCGTAGATTTAAACTTTGCATCATGTAACTAGAGGTGCGAGTGGTGCCCGGGGGGAAATGGTGAAACCTATGTTTGGATTGCTACTACTATGTATACTACTCAAAGCCTCAAACCAAATACAAGCGGGTTGGTCTAAAAATTTATACTTTTTCTCTCAATTTAGATCAAGCGGTGTTAAGCATCATACTGCACGATGTGTTTAAGACGTAGTCTTATACAAAATGGCACAATACCATTCCGACCACGACAATAAAAATACCAAGGATTCCACCAGCTGAAATAGTCATGAAGGAGAATATATCCAAAGGCTAACACAAGGCATGTTTCAGATCCGATGTCCTAATACTTGGTATGTCACTGGAGATGTCTTCCTAATCACAAGAAAAGTACTGAAGTTCTCAGAAACGGATACTGAGAAAGCTGAAACAAAGAATGTCTGTCACCAGAACTTAAAAGTGTTAACTGGTTTTGCAATAATTATAAACATATTTAGGAAGTATTAAATGTATTGTATTCCTTAGCAACACTTTTGGAGTGTAGTTGGATGCAAACACATACGGAGTACTTATTTGATTAAAACCTATCATCAAACAGTCCAGTAATAAGCAGACTAATTGCATGATAAGGGCACGATTGGTAATGAAGTTGTGTCTCATCTGGGTAAGACTGGTTAAGATACCCAAAGAGTTGGCAACAAAAAATAACAAAAGACGTGTATGGTAACATTTCGACCTTGAAGTGACTTTTAATCTTAAGAGACATTTGAGAGTGTGTGTGCGCACACACACATGTGTGCTGTGTTTACAAGTAAGCCCCTGATTTATAATTTCACATCCTGGTCTTCAAATCATGTAAGGGATCTTGGAATCTCACTCCTGATCTTTTTGATGCCTAAATCATCTATGATGAAAGCTTTAGAATTGCCACTATTTGTTTTTTTTTACAATTAGGGCCATTCTTTTGGTTGCTCAGTAACACACACATAAGGAGATTGAATATAATTTGTGCAATGCAATCGTGATAATGGATGGTAAAGATAGAAAGAGCCCAACAAGTTGAGCTATAAATTGATAACTGATGCACGTCCAACACCAAAGAAAAGGACACCCAAGGCAACCTCGAATAATCTTACTTCTTTCCTTTTTTGAACATTCCAAAATAATCTTCACTCTCCTTAACGGTCTGTTTGGAATGGGAAAAATGATTTCTAGAAAATGACTTCTGGAAAATGAGTTACTCCGTATATTCTAATGGGATTTTGTAATATTCATTAGTTTTTAAAAAGGAAAAAGTGAAAAATGAATTGTAATTTTATAACTTCCAATGATTTGCTATTAGCAAAGTCTATTAACTAAATACACATGACTACATGAGCATTTTATTAGATGTTATTAATCGAGACCCAGCAATTAACATAAATTAGGAACAGTAGAGCAAAGCAATAAGGTAGAGCAGATGGAAAGAGATAAAGAGGAAAACTATAAGACAATACCTAAAGTGCTCCCCTTTATCCATCTCTAACACTAGAAATAGAGAACCCTATTTCTTAAAAATGAAATAAAAATAATGTTTGAATCCAAAGTAAATAACACACCACAATGGAGAACCCTATTTCTTAATTTCCTAACAAGAAGCATAAAATTCAATTCCAAAGAACCAAATAGATATAGGGAAGCCTGATGGATTGTTTTAATTTTTGAATTTAAAAAAAAATTGAATAAGCTTCAAGAAAGGGAAAGAGAACCTTAAAGCTACTTTAAAAACAAAATAATGGCGAGCTCACATAGAGCATTATATTACGATTCAAAAATATCACTATACTCCCTCTGTCCCTGTATTTGTCCACTTTTCCTTTTTTGGACGTCCCACTGTATTTGTCCACTTACCATTTTTAGTAAATCCTAAAATTTAAAAGGTCATTTTTGCCCTCCCTTTTTAATTTAACCCACCCCACCCTCGGCCCTTTTTTCTCAGTGCCACGTACTCCTTATCTACTCTATACTCTTTTCATATTCCCATTTTTCTAGATCTATTCCAGATCTCTGTCATCCTCACCCTTGCTCCTCCCGTTGCTTAGATCTAGCCTAGATCTTTGTCATCTTCATCCTATTCCGACCATGGAAGCTTCATACACTGAGTTGAAATTATGTTCTATCATCCTTGAAACTCCACTCCCGAGCATGGGATCTCCATTCTCTAAGTTTGATTTGTGTTCAATCATCCCCGAAACTCGAGAATCAGGTATGGCCGGAGAGAAGGCGATGGCCGAAAGTTTAAACTGAACAACCTCCGTGCATGTGTCGTTGTTTAGTATTGAAATGGGCTTTCTTGATTCCATTTGTTTCTTCGCAGCTGCCCATAGCCATTGGACAACTTTTAACCTTATGCAATGCTCTGCTGCCAACTTCTGCATGACACCCCTAGCTGGTTTTTTATTTTTTATGTGCTGTAAAATCACTTGAAAGATGTATGCTCTTTGTTCATCACAAAGCGTGTGGGTATGTTTTATTGTTGGCGTGTTTTGTGTTTCAAGTTCCAGTAAGGTGGGATCTTCCATGAGTGAAAAAAATGAATGGAAGAAAAAGATGGATGAAAAAGGTGAATGAAAGAAAAGATTAATGGAGAAAAATGTTAGTTAATGGGTGATGATTTGGAGAAAAAGATGGAAGAATAAGGAGAATGGAAGAAAAGCACGGTGTTAAGCTTAGTCTAGATTGAAAGAAATACACCTTGCACTTAGATAGATTTGGAGGGAATTAATTTTTTAGTTTGGATCCAAATTTTTGTAATCATGACATCCACCAAATCTCCATGCGAATTGGTATGGGCATTGTACTTTAAGAATATTTTAATCATAAAATAAGAACCCCTTTTTAATGGAATGACGTGTGCAGTGGATGGATGGAGGGTTTTTTTGTCAATTTGATAGCCCCTCCCCCACTTTTTTGGTTTTTGGTTCAAAAAGAAAGTGGACAAAGAGAATGGGACAGAGGAAGTATAAGAGATGAAGAAGTTGATTTTAGAGTTAAACTAAAAGATGGAAGATATTATACTATGTGATGGTGTAAATTACTTGACCGATCAAACTATACTAGACCGGGTCTAGAATAGTTTGCTTGATTTGACAAAGTAAGAAAGGTAAAAACTCGTAGATTGACCGGGAGGACTTTAGGTGGAACACCTGTAGCCCAATTTATATTATAATGGAGAATGCACGGGTGCTTTTACAAGGGAGTTTAGAGAGAATGAATTCGGATCCCCTTTCTGAGGCTTACAAGAGGTATATATACTAAGCTATGGGGGACAAGACCACGTGCGCCCACGTGGGGGCACGATGCTGATGTGGTGCGAGGTGACTGGTTTCGTCCTTGAGCTGCCTTGTCGCCTTGCGAGGGGTGTTGTGCCCTTGTCGTGTTCTGGTTTGGAAAAGTTCCTTTGGCATCTCCACCGATTCTCCAGTAATGTCAGTCACAACAGTCCAAACCCTTTTGGACTCTTCCTGCCGACACCCTCAAATCCTCGGAAACTCTACCGGTTGATTAGCTAGCTTTGAAGGATGGAATTAGACGATAGAAAAGTTTGACCGGTATACTATCCGAAGTGTACCGGTCAACCTTTTGGTAAACCATCTATCCCCTTTGCCGACGATTCAGGTCCTTTACTCAAGTTTAACCTCTTTGACCGGTCAATTATTTGGTTCTATCCTTTGACCGGTCATGGGTGAGATACACCCATCAATAAGCCCTCCACTTCTCGGTTATGCAATTTTGTCATAAGCGGGAAGTAAAAATCTGAAACAGGACTTCTAATTTCGAATTTCAGCTTTTCCCGCCCAAGGATTCGAATTTCAAAATTTGAATCCGGACACGTGTCGCGCCTCAGCTATCCGTTCTGAACCGCTGTCAGCCCGTCCGTTCATCTTCCCACGCGCCATCATTGCGCCGCCTGACGCGGCGCGCCCTCGAGTGGCCACGTCGCCCGTTCCCTTCCTTCCTCGCCTATATAAAGGGCTCCGCCCCATTCATTTCTTCACTTCTTCTCGCGCGTCTCCTGAGTTTTACCGGTCAAGCTCCTCTTCTTTTGCCTTCCAGCCCTCCGAGTCAAGTAAACCTCCTCTCTCGTTAGCTTTTCTTTCCGTTCTTCGTTCCCTCTCCCAGTTATGCCTTCCCCTGGTAGTCATAGGATCTCATCCTCAGATGATTCCTCATCTGAGGACTCCACCTCTTCTTCTTCGACCGGGCGTTACTCCTCGGATTCCGCACCCGGTCAGATCCCCAACCCTTCCGTACCTGAGCCGCAGCCTGTGAAACAAATGCCCGGTCAGGTTGCTGCGGAAGGGGAGGAACCGGTCGACAACGAACTGGGTCCTTATGACCCAGACACCGAGTCCTGGGAGGAGTGGGAAGAGCGGCTCCGAACCGCCGGTTACTTTCCACTCCCTACATATTATATCCTCGACATTTCCTCCCACGTATCCAAAATTGCCCTGAATAAAATCCGTAGGAGGCTCCCGGATGGTTATACCCTCCTTTACGAGCATGACTGGCCTAACATCATAGAGCCCCACCGGGAGGATAGGATAGGGTTTCATACGATTTCCCTGGACGCGGGCATTGTTTTTCCCCTGCGCCCCCTCCTTACCGAAGTTTGCCATGCGTTTAGGATTCTGCCCGGTCAGATAACTCCTAACGCGCATCGTTACCTGCACTCCTTTGTAAATATTTGCTCCCACCACAAAATAGACCCTTCATTGCGTCTTTTTCTCTTTTGTTTCGAAGTCCTACCGGGTGGGGCCGGTTGTGAGGGCTTCGTGTATTTCAAAGGCCGCACCGGTAGGAAGTTCATTTCTGATGTCCCCCAAAGCAACCGGGGGTGGAAAGAAAAGTTTGTTTTTATCGAGTTTCCCCCATTTGTTACCCCCCTAGCCGGTCTAAAATGGAATGACCACCTCCTCAACCATGAGTACACCTTACCGGCCTCCTCCCCCGATCTCGAAACGAGTGTTGAGATCCTTCTTCGTGGTGATTCGTTCACCGGGAGGAAGTACAATTATGGAAGCTGGGTCTGGAGGGTCGAATCGGGTGGTGAGGGTACCTCCCCGGCCCATGACGCAGCGGGGCGCGGGGTACCCTCCCCGGGCAACACTGCGGAGGCTGAGGGCAACTCCCACCCAGGTATTCCTCGTTTCTCTTTCGTCTTTTATCTAACCGGTACCTTCTCTCATACTTAGCACCTTTTTGTTGGTTCTTGCAGACATGGAGTTCGAGGAGTTTGCCATCCCCGAAGAATAGCCAGAGAGGGAAGCCGGTGATTCCCAAGTTCCCGCTGCCAGAACTTCCACGGTCAACCGCGAGACCGTGGAAATTCTCGATGAGGATGAGCCCGCGGATGACCGGTCGAAGGAGAAGGCCAAGGAAAAGGTCGGTCGCCGGCAAAAGAAGGTGGCTACCACCCATCCTTCCTACGCCAAGAAGAGGGCGAGATCGGATTCTGAGCTGGCTTCCCAGTCCATCGAAGAAGCCTTCGTCAACCTAGGCCTAAGGCTAACAGAGGTAAGACTTACCTTTGTACCGGTCAAAGTCTTCTCCCTGTACTTTGATGAGAGCTTAACCGGTATGTTTATGTGTGCAGGCAGGGGAGATCGGGCCATATACGGCTGAACGGCTGGGGATGGGCTCTCCCACAGAGTTTGCCCGGTTGAAGAAGGAAAATGAGGAGATGGCTCACATCCTGAAGAGCCAGGAAGATGAGCTTATCCGGCTCTCTGGCCTGACCGGGACAATGAAGGCGGAGATCTCCCATCTTAAGGACGAAAATGGCTAGCTCATGGACGAAGTTTCTGTGACAAAGAGGGAGATGGCGCTGAAGGAGCAGAACTTCCCCGGTCGTGCAGCTGCGTGGGTGCACGAGAACAGAGCCGAAGCCGCCCGGGTGATGACGGCAAGCCCGGATGCTACCATGGAATCCTTCAGGCTTCTTTACCGGGAGCCTGAAGGGAAGAAGATGATTACCGCTATAGGGTCCTTCGGGTTCAAGAGCGGTCAGAAGAAAGACCGGGCTGCCTGCCATCGGATTTTGAAGAAAAGAGACCCGGAGTTCACCGCAGCTTCTTACGGCCTGGCTCCAATCCCGGAGGAAGAGCCTATTCCCCCTTTCCCCTAGATTAAAACTCCCCGCCCTTGACTGGTTGCTTTGTAAACTTGAAACTTCCATTTCCCCGGGGATGCCCGGTGTATCTGTAAACATTTAACATGCTTGTTCCGTTTGAATGCCATGTTTAATTTCCTTACCGGTTAATCTTCCATATCTGCTTGCTTGTTGATTTATACTTTGCTTTTGCTTCTTAGAATACCATCATAGAAATTCTGACCGGTACATAAATCAGGCCACTTCTCAATTGTTTTCGACCGGTGGAACTTCAAAGTTCTCTTTGGTTACTTCATCTGAAGGATTAGCTCGAGTAACTTTGACCGGTTAAACTTCAATTTTTGCTTTTCAATCGTCTTCACCATGGTGGCCAACTTAAAAAGTTTGACCGGCCGAACTTTACTTTGGCCTTTTGGATAGCTTCACAAATTCTTTGGTAAAGTTTACTTTGACCGGTGAATTCCCACTCCATGGTTTGACCGGTCAACTGCCTTGCCTTCCGATGGGTGTAGAACTTTCGAAGTTCTGCTGTGCACATACCCAACCGGGGTATTCTTTTTTTTTTACTTGACCGGTAGGTTGTAGATGGAAACACCTGTAACCTAGTAATTCTTGAAGTATCCTTAACCGGTAAGAATACTGGAGATTTAACCATGTCGAATGGTTTCGAACCCTCTCCAAGGTTCAAATGCACCCTTCTTCCAGGGCCCCCTCTTCCGGGTGATTAAGTCTTTTGATGGCCCTTTGATTTCTACCATNNNCATACCCAACCGGGGTATTCTTTTTTTTTTACTTGACCGGTAGGTTGTAGATGGAAACACCTGTAACCTAGTAATTCTTGAAGTATCCTTAACCGGTAAGAATACTGGAGATTTAACCATGTCGAATGGTTTCGAACCCTCTCCAAGGTTCAAATGCACCCTTCTTCCAGGGCCCCCTCTTCCGGGTGATTAAGTCTTTTGATGGCCCTTTGATTTCTACCATTCCGGGAAGGCCTTAGCTCACCCTCCCGTTCAAGTCTTCCCTGAGAAGGGGGAAACAGGATGCGCCACGGTGGACGATCCCCTTCTATTTCTTTTAATGGGCATCTTTTAGTCCCCAATCAATTTGACGGCGCCGGCCGATTCTCCGACACTAGTCAAACCTCATGGGCCCGTGTAAGTACGGTTCGAACCTTCTTCCAGGTCCAGCCCTCTTGCAGGCATACCCTCTTCCGGGCCCCTCTTCCGGGTTTTTTTATTATACTGAGCAAGACCGGTGTAGTAACCAGCGTGCCAGGTCCGGGCCTGTGTCTCAGTTGGCTTATCCAAGTGGATTCGATCCACCCAGGAAGCCCTCCTAGGATAGGTTTGACCTATCAATTCTGCCGCTACCAAGTAGAGTATCGAACATCACTTTGATTGATAATGTGGTTAGGCCTCGCCTAGTATTACAATCATTTGTAGAACTTGCGAAGATGGTGGGAATTCCAAGTTCTTTCTACCGGTACACCATCTAAAGTTTCTAATCGATACGTTCCTGGTCGAATGATGGCTCTAACCCTGTATGGGCCTTCTTAGTTTTTTGCCAGCTTTCCTCCATCCCCAACTTGGAAGTACCGCGGCCCAACCTTGTTGTCATGGTACTTTTTCACAACTTGTTGGTATGTACTCATTTTAACTTCCGCGGCCATCCTCCACTCTTCGACCAAGTTGAGTTCGGCCAAGTGATCTTCTTCATTTTGTTGGGGTTGATAATTTGATTCCCGAAACGTTGGGAATTCAGCTTCGATGGGCAGCCTTGCTTCACACCCATAGGTTAGGGAGAATGGAGTTTCCCCGTGAGCCCTCCTGGGTGTTACTCGGAATGCCCATACGATGTGTGGGAGCTCTTCCAGCCACTTGTTTCCTGCCTCTTCCAGCCGTTTCTTCAAACCATCTACAATAGTTCTGTTGGCGTCTTCGACTTGGCCATTTCCTTGGGGGTACGCCACCGAAGAGCGATTGTGCTTGATCCCGAAGCCCTCCAAGTATTCGGTGAATCTTGGATTTCGGAATTGCGGCCCGTTGTCAGTGATGAGGTTCATGGGCGCTCCAAACCTCGTGATGATGTTCTTCCAAATGAATTTCTTGCATTGTTGCGTGGTAATGTTGGCCAACGCTTCGGCCTCAATCCATTTGGTGAAGTAATCGATGGCTACGATCACGAACATCTTCCCTCCTTGGGCGACCGGGAATGCTCCGATGATGTCAACCCCGAATCTAGCGAATGGGATGACGTTTGATACGGGGTGATAGTAGGTCGCCGGTCTACCAGGATACTTGTAGAATACTTGGCACGTCCTGCATTTCTAGGAAAGCGTACGAGACATTTGACGTACCTTTCACAATCCTGGACGATTGTTGGCCAGTAATACCCCAATAGGATGATGTGTTGGGAAAGCGTACGGGACATTTGATGTGCCGCGCATACGCCTTCGTGGACCTCTGCTATGACTCGCTCAGCCTCCCGGTTGGTTAGACATCTCAGGAGTGGCCCCCCAAATGCTCTTTTATACAGCTTTCCATCAAGAACCTGGAATCGGGGTGCCCTGAGCTTCACTTTTCTTGCCCGGTCATCTTGTTCTGGCAAGCTCCCATCCATCAAATATTCCATCAGATCATACATCCAATGGTCGTCCGCCCCGACCAGTTTTGACCGGTCATATTGGCTTCCGGCCGTTATAGCAGCTACTTCCAATTTTTCGATGCTTGCACGGTCAAGGATCTCTACCCGGGCAAGTTTTGAAACATGCTCGGGAGCATACTGCGTCAACTTGGAGAGAAGGTCTGCATCCGCATTTTCCGCCCGGGGAATTTGGGCGATCTTGAACTCTTCGAAGCCTTTCAACAGGGCAAGTACAAGGTCCTTGTATTGTGCCATGCGTTCTTCCCTTGCTTCCATGTTACCGGTCACCTGCCCGACTATCAAGCTAGAGTCAGATTTGATACTGACCCGGCTGATTTTCAAGGCTTGGGCAAGTCTGAGCCCTCCAGCCAAAGTTTCATACTCTGCCTCATTGTTTGTCAGTTTGAAGTTGAAGACGATTGCATGGTAGATCTTGAACCCTTCTGGGGTGGTGAACATGATACCACCCCCGTATCCTCTAGGACTGGATGCCCCGTCGACTGCCATCTCCCACCATTGCTCAGTGGGCTTGTTGACCGGTAAGTCTGGAGTTAGACCGGTCATTTCTACTAGGAAGTCAGCAAGGGCTTGTCCCTTAATTGCTAACCTTGGCCGGTACTCAATTTGGAATTGAGTTAACATCATCGCTCACTTCACCATCCTCCCGGAGGATGTTGAATTTCGCAACACTGCACCCAGCGGTTGGTCAGTCAAAACTTCTACCGGGTGAGCTTGGAAGTAGGATGTTAACTTTTTTGCGGAGATGAAAAGCGCATAGGCCGTCTTTTCCATCACCGTATATCTACTCTCAGCTCCGTTTAATGCTTTGCTCACATAATAAATGGGCTTTTGCGCCCCATCATCTCTTATTAAAACGGAGCTTACAGCATTTGGGGAAATTCCCAGGTACAGATACAGAGTTTCACCCGGTTCGGGTTTAGACAATACAATATCCGACGCTAGGTACTCTTTCAGCTCCTCGAATGCCCTCCGGCATTCCTCGTCCCATGCAAATGTGTTGGCCTTCTTCGGAACTTTGAAAAAGGGCAGGGATCTCTCAGCTGACCGGGAAAGGAACCAGCCGAGGGCCGCTAAACGGCCGGTCAACTTTTGAACATCCTTAACGGAGGTAGGGGCTTGCATTTCAGTGATGGCCCGGATTTTCTCTGGGTTAGGCTCTATTCCTCTCTTGGTCACCATGAATCCCAAGAACTTCCCGGTACGAACCGCGAAGACGCATTTCTTAGGATTCAGCCGGAGGTTGTACCTTGCCATGATATCGAACGTGGCTCGCATATCAGCCGGTCGGTTCAGAGATACCTGGCTTTTGATCAGCATGTCATCGACGTATGCCTCCATGGTCTTTCCCAGTAGTGGCTTGAAGAGTTTGTTCACCATGCGCTGGTAGGTTGCCCCCGAGTTCTTCAAGCCAAACGCCATTACCCGGTAGCAGTAGGTTCCTTCGAGTGTGAGGAATGACGTCTTCTCTTCATCTTCCTTGGCCATGTAGATTTGGTGGTAACCCTTGAAGGCATCCATGAAACTTAGGAGTTCGCACCCCGCAGTTTCGTCCACCATTTGATCTGGACTGGGAAGGGGGTATGAATCCATCGGACAAGCCTTGTTCAAGTCCGTATAATCCACACACATTCTCCATGTGTCGCCCTTGGGAGCAAGGACAACGTTGGCCAACCAATCCGAGTATTTGACTTCCCGGATGTGACCAACACTGATTTCCATGAGGCATGGAAATCACCGCCCCGACTCTATTGATGCCTGGCCTTCCAAGAATTGCGTTGTGGACGCAATTGATGTCCACAACTATGAACCGCATTTTCTTCCACACGGTCTTTTCACCTGATCCTAGTTCGACCGGTAGAACTATGGATCCTTCAGCTTCAACGGTGTCCCCCGTGAAGCTTGAGAGAGGGGTTTTGAGGGGTTCAAGTTGTGTCCGACACAACCTGAGTTTTTGGAAGGTCTCTAGGTATAAGATGTTGACACTGCTGCCGGTGTCAACAAGTACCCGGGCGACATCCACCCCATTAATGTCCATGGTGATGACCAATGGATCATTGTGATCTTCACCGGTAGGAGGGAGATCCCGGTCAGTAAAGACGATAGGCTCCCTCCTAGTATGTTTACGCCTGGGCGGTTCAGCAATTACCTCTCCAACGTAAATGCTTCGGACCTAGTTCTTCCGCTGCGCGGCTGAATCTCCACCCTCGGGTCCGCCGAAGATCATGCCGATGTGCTCTTTTTCGGGAGCAGGTTGCCGCTCCCTTGGCCGGTTATTCCTCCGCTGGTCGTTGTCTCGGTCATCCCCTGGGGCAGTTGGCCTAACCCATTGATGACTCTTCACCTGGGCATTCTGCAAGTAATCTTTGCCCAGCTCTCCACTGTCGATCATCTGCCGGATGACCCCCTTAACACTTTTGCATTCGGAGGTGTTATGGGAATCTGACCTGTGGTACGAACAATAGGTGCCCGACCACTGCCGCCCTACTTGACGGGTATTGTTTTCTGGAGGAATGACCGGTGCTTTCTGGACTTCTTGGCATTCTTCCGTATTGACCACTCAGATGACCGGGTCATAGTGGTGCCTCGGCCGGCTAGGTCCCGGTGCTTCTTCCTTCTTGACTTGCACCTGCTTGGGCTTGTGACCATGCTCAGCTTCTCTCTTTGCCCGGAGCTGGGTTTCAGCTTCAGCAAACTCCCATGCGGTGTGGTAGGCCTCTTGATACGTGGCTGGGGGTTTCCGGCAGAACTCCTTGTATAGTTCCCCAGCACGCAAGCCATTCAAGAGGAGGGATAAGACGGTCTTGTCATCCATCTCTTCCACCTTGTCTACCTCTTCCTTCCACCGGGTAAGGAACTGAGTAAGGTTCTCAGACTCCCTCTGCCCGGATGTACTGAGATAGGTGAATTTCTTCCTCTTAGTACAATTTTCCTGGAACTTGGCCTTGAATTTTTAGGCCAAATCACTGAACGAGTCAATGCCTTCCGGGCGAAGCTTATTGAACCATTCAGTGGCTCGGTTCCGCAAGGTCTGGAAGAAAAGTAGGCACTTTTCTTCATCGGTGCAACCGTTCATGGTCGCACTCTGGTTGAAGGAGTCCAGATGGATTTCCGGATCCTCCTTCCCGGTGAATCTAGGGGTGTCGATCTTAACCTTTCACGGGAAAGGTGTCAAATGGACCCTTGTGGTGAACGGGCACCCTGCCAGGGGTTTTTCCCGGTCATTCTTCTCTCCGACCTTCTTCTCCAGCCTTTCCAATTTTGCCTCCATCTGCTGGACGCGGTCACTCGGGATGGTCAACCAGTTCGCCACCGGTAACCTGGGCTGGCTCTCTGCTTCCTCTTCTTGACGAGAGGCCCTCGTCCTCGCTGGCTCCTGCCGGTTAGACCGGGAGCGCCGGGTGCGGGCAGGCTCGGCCTCCCGCACCTCTCCTAGCCGGGCGAATGCGCTGACATGGGCAACGCTCTGCCCCAGCCTTTGCTTGGCTGACTTCCTTTGGCCTTCCTCCCTATCCCCCACCCTTTCGAAGGCGGAGTTTCGGGAGGTCGCTGGCCGGATGTTTTTTCCTTTCTTCTTCTTGTGGGCCCTCGGAATATCCCACTCGCCGTCATCACTCTCAATTGAGATGCAATGACCATCAGGAGTGATCTGCGGATTCGTAGCTTGCGGGGGACGCGACGGCCCTGCGGCGTTAAGTGCGCCGGTCAAGTTTACAGGGGCTATGGTGCTGACCAGCTGGGGCTGGAAAGGTGATGGCTGCGGCATCGGCGTCTGGAACGACGTTACCGCCATCGGAGCTTGTAGGGGCATGGTTCCCGCGCGTGGAAGGGCGAATGGGAACATACCAGAGAGGAAAGGCATCCCCCTCCATTCTGTTGGCACATGGCCATGACCTGGCCAAAGCCCTGGATGGCTTGTAGGTTGGCTGGGTCATTCATGAACTGAGTCATGCTTGGTGGGAATGTTACCCTCGGTCTAGCGAAAGGGACGGGGGTCGCGAAGGGACTGATCACGCTGGCCGTCGGGACAGAGCTCAGACCCAGAGGTAACACCGGGGTTGAAATGACCCGTATGGTTGCAGCCACTGGGATGCTGGCACCCTCATTGGTGGCTTGCACCTGAGCGGGAGTAGCGTTGATTTGTTGGCTAGAAGACATTTCGAGTGGTGTTTTGGTGGGTAAGTTTGTGTTTAGGAGAAGAAACCTTAACGGTCCCACGGATGGCGCCAAAAATGATGGTGTAAATTACTTGACCGGTCAAACTATACTAGACCGGGTCTAGAATAGTTTGCTTGATTTGGCAAAGTAAGAAAGGTAAAAACTCGTAGATTGACCGGGAGGACTGTAGGTGGAACACCTGTAGCCCAATTTATATTATAATGGAGAATGCACGGGTGCTTTTACAAGGGAGTTTAGAGAGAATGAATTCGGATCCCCTTTCTGAGGCTTACAAGAGGTATATATACTAAGCTATGGGGGACAAAACCACGTGCGCCCACGTGGGGGCACGATGCTGATGTGGTGCGAGGTGACTGGTTTCGTCCTTGAGCTGCCTTGTCGCCTTGCGAGGGGTGTTGTGCCCTTGTCGTGTTCTGGTTTGGAAAAGTTCCTTTGGCATCTCCACCGATTCTCCAGTAATGTCAGTCACAACAGTCCAAACCCTTTTGGACTCTTCCTGCCGACACCCTCAAATCCTCGGAAACTCTACCGGTTGATTAGCTAGCTTTGAAGGATGGAATTAGATGATAGAAATGTTTGACCGGTATACTATCCGAAGTGTACCGGTCAACCTTTTGGTAAACCATCTATCCCCTTTGCCGACGATTCAGGTCCTTTACTCAAGTTTAACCTCTTTGACCGGTCAATTATTTGGTTCTATCCTTTGACCGGTCATGGGTGAGATACACCCATCACTATGGTTCAAACTTAAACATCACAACTGAAACTTCAGATTAACTTTTTTTACTGTTACATTATCCACATCTTTGTATAATACGCGCCCAGTGTGTATGTAACACCCTAATCCGTCCAGGTCTGCAGCCCCTTTTGGACTAAAATATTAACTTGGTAATCGTAAAATTTAAAACTTTTCAAACACTTTTATTTATCACGATAGTATTTTTCATAATATAACAGTACGGAGTTTCAATATTGCGGAAGCTTAACAAATCATAATCACAAACATAATTTATTTTTGTATATCAATTCAAAATCATCACATCCATTCCGACAATCTCGCCTCCGTCTGCCTCCAGGATCACTTCACATTATTCTTTCTATTCACCTGCGTGTAGCAAATAAAACACACTACACGCTCAGCGGTAAAGCTGAGTAAGCATATCTAATGCGTCAAACATCCATATAAACTGAATCTCAATTCACAATCAATTCATTTGATATCATGCACATAATATTCAGTCCAAATATTCAATAATCAATATTCAATTTTCAACATTCATTATTCAATCATTCAACATGTATAATCATCATTCATATTCACCATTTTTATTCATTATTCATCATACAATATTTATCATTTGTCCTTCAACAATATCCTTAAACTATTCTTAGTCTAAGGGCAATCTCTTTCATATTTATCAATCCTTAAACGAATTCTAGTTTAAGATATTTCTATTCAATTCTTAACCTATATTCTAGTCTAAGGTACTTTTATCCAATCCTTAAGCTAGGCCTAATTTAAGATAAGCTTGCCTTCACTTAAGGTCAACCAAAAATCGAACAGTGGAATGCTCATTGTCGGGTTGGGTGATATCTCCAAACGAGTTCCTCTAGTTTGGTTTATAGATCTCGTACGTACGTTTTAACCTAGGCCACCGAATATTCATAAATATACCCGCAAGGCCTATTTCTAAGCAATAACAATTAGCGGTCTAACTTTAGGTCCTAGCTTACCGTCATGCATCACGTAAGGTCTTTAATTGTCAAAACATCATTTTTATTTCCAGAATTTATTATTCATATTGATCATAATTGATTAGTGTAACAATAGGATTTAATGGTTCAAAAATCGGATTTTCTGGAAATTAATCAGATCAGACGGTACCCTTCACGGTACCTCAATACCGGCTAACGGTATCTTGGTACCGTGCCGGCGGTAGGGGGGTACCGTCGGTGGACAGGTACCGCCAGAGGAGCTTGGTGGCGACGGTAGCTCCCTATCGTCCCGGCGGTAGGTGGGTACCGTTTGGACGGTACCTATTTACCGCGTCGGCGGTAGTGGGTTACCATGCACTGTTCATCGTCTTCCTCCTCGGGACTATTTTCAGGGATTTCATTTTTAGTCACCAAACTTCAATTAAACTATATAGAAATGTTCTCCAATGTTCATGGATCATTTTGGTATCATTAATTCATAGTTTTAACATCAAATTCAAGGTTTATGATTCTTAGTCTTCAAACATGTCAAACACAAAACTCAACCAAATGACCATTTATGAACGTAGAAACGACCTATATGAACATTCTAGTCATTAGATATATCTACGGGCTTACCTCGAAGGTAAATGAAGGTTTTGAAGATTTTCCGACGAAACTTCCGGTGAGTATATCTTTCTACTCCAGCGACCTCTCACAGAGCTGACAGCACCAGTGTATTCTCCTCACTCAGAGCATCAGGATAGAAGGAAGAATTGTAGATTTTGGTGAAGAAATGAGGAAGATGAGTTCCTCTTATATAGTATTAGGAGGAAGAAGAAGACATGGGATTGAGTGATTTCCAAGATCGGGGAATCGGCTAGTGCGCCGTTTGCACAGTAGCCCGCCGTTTGTTTGATTCCCTGATTGGGACTGATTTTGGTCTCAGTTGAGGTACACTTTTTGGTCCAACTTTCTTCGAATTGAAATCTGTTTGCACCGTTGCGATCATACAATTAAACTCTATCCAACGATATAGTTTTTATATTTATTTGTAATACTTTTTACGACATCATATTTTTGGGTGTTTGACTTTGTCAGAGTCAAAATTGATTTATTTGACCTTTACTTAAAAAGGTGCTCATACTAAATTCATGGAGTACTATTTATTTTCATGATTTATTTCAATAAATCATTTTAAAGTTTTCATCATAAACACATTATTCATTTATTACTGATTTTGGGTCTGTACTCAGGTTCCCAACCAAGATTACACAATTAGTAAACATATAAGATTTATCCAGATTAAGATATTGGATATCAAACACATATTATTTCAGCCCAAAGTCCAACAATAAATTATTTTAATCAAAACAAATTTGATTAATTTATTATGTATTTATTAATAATTCTAGGGTATGTTTTGGGGTGTTACAGTGTACTTTTCACGAATTTCCAATAGAGGGGCTGATTATGCAACGGTTTTATGAGCACAAGGACTATTTGGAAACTTTTGAAAGTTCGTATTTACCCACTTATGCAATACCACATGGACTATTTATGCATATAACTTATTTCAAAAATAGGACATATAATGACAAAAATACAAACATATAGTACAAAAAAACACTGTCGATTGTCAATATATCGTGCCATATTGTGACATGCAATCGTCTTATTTTGAAGAGTAAAGTGTGATAATTTTTATTTGAGGATAAGAGTTATACTTTATTCACAATTTAGGTTATTTCTTCTTGAAAACATCTAATTAATTGACTTGCTAGAACAAGCCTGACCATGATTTTGATCGTAATTTATAATATACAACTATTCGTACAGTACTTCTTTTAAATTTGACGCGAATTCTTATTTACGAGTAAAAATATAGTTATTTTATATATGCACGTCAAATATTTATACTTAAATCGGTAAAATGTATGGAATGAGTATTCTGTTAATTGTAAATACATATTTTGTTGTTCACAAATGAGCATGTATATATTTTATACTAACACTCTATCAAAGTATTTGTCTAGTTTTTGACCTTTTACAATCGAAATTGATAAACTTTGATCGTTAATTAAATAAACTTTACATTCGATACTAATATAAGAATAATTTTATTAGATTTATCTTGTAAAATACTTTTAAAACATTTCTTTATCCAACTAAAACAACAAGTAATTTTTATTTAGTTATAAGTCAATAGTCGATCTAGATTAACTTCAAAAAAGCACAACTAAAACAAATACTTTGATATGGAGGTAGTAATTACATATTTTATATAAATACGTAGTATTGAAATAAATAAATATGCCAATAGAGGTAAATTTTACCAGTGGTACCTGAATTTTGAGGATTATTTTGCTTTGGTATCTAAACTATATTTCCACTCGCAAAAATACATGAACTTTGAAAAACAAAAAGTTCTCCAAAGTTAATGTATCTTATGAGAGGGTAAATTTCACCTATGGTATACAAACTTTTATCATTATTTCACTTCGGTATATATAAACTTTAATTCCTATCATAAAAGTACACGAACTTTCAGCATTCTTTCACCGGTGGTCCAATAGGCGGTTTCTAAGTCATCTTCAGGTCATTTGTGGTCAAATTATAATTTTATAAATTTAAATTTTATGATTTTGACCCTTTTTCTTTTTTTCTCTTGGTTCTCCACCCTTTTCTTCATCTTCTTCAAGACCCCCCACCCTCCCCCTCCATTTTTTTCTTCTCTTCCTCTTCCAGCCCCACTCCCACCCCCACCCGCAACNTAAGAAGAAAAAAGAATGAAAAAATGGGTGCGTGGGGGTGGGGGGGGTTAGAAGAAGAGGGGAAGAAGAGAAAAAATGGTGCGGGTGGAGTAGGGGTGGGGCTGGAAGAGGAAGAAAAGAAAAAAATGGAGGGGGAGGGTGGGGGTCTTGAAAAAGATGAAGAAAAGGGTGGAGAACCAAGAGAAAAAAAGAAAAGGGGTCAAAATAATAAAATTTAAATTTATAAAATTATAATTTGACCACAAATGACCT